TCCATGGTGCTGGGCTGCTGTCTCAGCAGGAGATGAATTATTTTTGGAGTTCTGCTGAGAAGTCTAGATAGCATGACTTAAAACTGAAGATCCCTACACAGAGTTCAGCTTTCCAGAATGCAAGAACTCAGAGAACCAGACAAAGTCAGGAAGAACAGCCCAACACATTTATTTCCCTTTAAACCCTAAAGAATACTGAGTCTCCATAATTTAAAGATCCTAGATGACTATAGATTGGAGGGTTTTAGGTATTAGTATCAGATTTTTTGTTCACTTTTATTTTTAAGGAGAGGTACTTAAAATTTGTGAAGTCACATCTTTGTGGTTCCCCTGATGGGCAGAAGTGTAGGGTGAATTTGAAGAATTTCTGGGTAGGTGGGCGGTAGGGTCAGGTCCAGCTGAGCTTGAGATATGACAAAAAGAGCTTTTCAATTATCTTTGAAAACTACTATTTAGGAATTTCTAGTCAATTACAAGTTTTGCTTAGATGTCACTTTGGCTTTCTCTACTCCTACTACCCCAAAATCATACCAGATATCTTCAGCGTCATTGGACTTATTATATAATCTTCTCAATCTCCATTTGCATTATGGGATAGATTGCAATAATTTTGTCCAACTCTTTATCATTCCCTAGCTCCATGCTTCTTACCATATAACTTTGCAGTGTGGGCCTGTAACCTTCCTCAGCCTCTTGACCTTGGGCTCAGCCATGTGATTTTCTTTGACCAATAAGATGTTTAGGAAAAGGGACACAAGCAGAGGCTTGGGATGGATCAGAACATTGGGGCTTGCTCTTCTGCCTAGAGAAGAATGACAGACACATGGCACTGGCTGTGGTGTGGTGCTCCAGCCAAGCCTACCCTAGAATAGAGCCCTGTAAAATCCACAGACACAAGCCAAGTTGAGACAAACAGAGCCACCCAACTAAATCCACCTCAAAAGATTTGAAGTGTGCAGATGTCTGAAAAATAAGTGTTTATTGTTGGATGCCACTGGGGTTGTATTGTTGTTTGTGACACAGCAAAAGCTCACTGATACAAATGCCATTTGATTCATGCTCCTCTTGTCTGCCAGAGTGATATTTCTAAAATGGAAATCCAATTATCCTAAAATTACTTTGCCTAAGATACTTTAATGACTTCCTGCTATTGGGCTGAATGGTGTGTCTCCCCACCGCCCTCCAAATTCATAGGTTGAAGTCCTAACCAACAATGCTTCAGAATGTGACCTCACATGAAAACAGGGTCATTGAAAATGTAAAATGCAATTAATTGAGTAAAAATGATGTCATACTGGAGTAGGGTAGATGCCTAATCTAATATGAATGATATCCTATCTAATAAAAGAGTAATATGCAAATTAACCATCACTCTGTCATTCTCTCACTCCGTCACTCCATCACTCCCTCACTCCATCACTCCCTCACTCCGTCACAAAGATGGCGGCGGCCACAGAGCTGGAGTGAGCAGGAGGCTTTGGTTGCCCCCGGCGAAGGAGGAAGCCAAGCTTCCCGCCTGCCCTGGAAGGCCCTGAGCTCCGCTCAAGGCTACAAAGTTTCAATTATAGAAGATAAATAAATCCCAGATACATGCTTCCAGCCGGCATGGCCTCCGTTCAAGGAGGCTCTGGGAGCCTGGGTTGCCAAAGGCAACCCAGGCTTCCAGAGACCTGGGCTTTACTCAAGGCTACAAAGTTTCAATTATAGAAGATAAATAAATCCTAGATACCTGCTGGAAAAAAAAAAAAAGAAAGAGAAAAAGGACAGGCTGGGAGCTTGGGTCACCAGGGACCTTGACCAGCCTGCAAACAGCCATCACCCCCTCATCTAGGCTGTCCACACCCCCATGGGGTGAGGATCCCCACTGGGGAGCTTGACCAGCCTGAAAACAGCCATCAGCCCCTCACCCAGTCTGGCCAGGCACCCCAACAGGACCCCCACCCTGATCCGGGACACCTTTCAGTGCAAATCAGCTGGCCCCTACCCATGCACCAGACCTCTATCCTATTTAATAAAAGGGTAATATGCAAATTGACCCTAACAGCAGAATGACTGGAAATGACTGGTCACTATGACACACACTGACCACCAGGGGGCAGACGCTTAATGCAGGAGATGCCCCCTGGTGGTCAGTGTGCTCCCACAAGGGGAGCTCTGCTCAGCCACAAGCCAGGCTGATGGCTGCCAGCACAGCGGTGGTGGCGGGGGCCTCTACTGCCTCCTCAGCAGCGCTAAGGATGTCCGACTGCAGCTTAGGCCTGTTCCCCGCTGGCAAGTGGACATCCCCCAAGGGCTCCTGGTCTGCCAGAGGGATGTCTGACTGCCAGCTTAGGCCCGATCCCTCAGGGAGCGGGCATAAGCCAGCAGGTGGACATCTCCTGATGGGTCCCAGATTGTGAGAGGGCACAGGCCGGGCTGAGGAACACCTCCGAGTGCACATATTTTTGTGCACCAGGACTCTAGTCCTTATAAAAAAGGAAAATTTGACCTGAGTCAATAGTTCCATTAATTAGAGCATCCTCCCAATACATCAAGGTTATGGGTTTGATCCCCAGTCAGGGCAACAAATCACTCTCTCTCTCTCTCTCTCTCTCTCTCTCTCTCTCTCTCTCTCTTGTCTTAGTATTTTTAAAAATATTCTTCTTGATTTCAGAGAGGAAGGGAGAGGGAGGGAAAGACAGAAGCATCAATGATTAGAGAGAATTATTGATTGGCTGCCTCCTGCATGCCCCTCACTGGGGAACAAGCCTGCAACCAGGACATATTCCCTGACCATGAATTGAACTGGTGACTTCTTGGTTACTGGGTTGATGCTTAACTGCTGAGCCACACCAAGCTGGGCAATATTTTTTTAAAAAGGGGGAATCTGGAGACAGACAAGCTTTCAGGAAGAATGTCATGTAAGTGTAAAGGCAGATCAGGATGATGTGTCTGTAAGACATAGAACATTGAAGATTACCAGAAAACCACCAGCAGCTAAGAGAGAGGAATAGAATGATTCTCCCTTACAGCCCTCAGAAGGAACAAATTCTACCAACAACTTGATCTCAGACTTCAGCTCTAAAACTGTGAGATGATGAATTTCTGTTTAAGCCACTCCCCATTATCTTTAGGGTAAAGTCTAACCTCCATCACAAGGTATGAAAGTCTTTTCCTTTTTTTTTCTTTTTTAAAATTAAAGTTGACAATATTATATTACTTTCAGATATATAATATAATGATCAACATTTGTATACATTATGTTGTGACCAACACACTAACCCTAGTAACCATCTCTCACCATGCAAAGTTATCACAATGTTATTTACCACATTTTCCTTCACCTTCTCTTCTTCCCACCCCCCAAACTCCCCTGGCAACCATCAGTTCAATCTCTGTTTCTATTGTCTGTTTTTGTTTTGTTTATTTGTTTATTTTTTTAAAATTTCAAATATGAGTGAAATCATGTGCTATTTGCCTTTCTCTGTCTGACTTTCTTCACTTAGTATATTATCCTCCAGGTCCATCCATGTTGTTACAAATGGCAAGATTTTATTTTTATTTTTTATTGCTTAGTAATATTTCACTGGACATTCTTTCATAAGCTGGTCTCTGGTTATATCTTTAGTTTCATCCATCACTGGATTCCAGTAGCTTCAGCCTTACCCCATTCTCTGGCCACACAGAACTATTTATAGTGCTTCAAACAACTGCCTTAGGCTCTTGTTCATCTATAACTTGGGACTCAAATGCCTTTTCTGCTACTTTCCAATGCTCCACGTAATTACCTGATTAACTTCTATTTGTATTTCAAGCTCCAGATTGTGCATCATTTCTGGAAACCTTCTTCTCCCCTTCCCAATCCTAGTAACTGGAGGATGCTCTATTGAATGCTCCCCAAACACTCTATGGAGATATTTCTATCACAGTTCACTACACATCTTAATCTTTATCAACAGACTTGATAATGAACCTCTTACAGGCAGGGTCAGATGCTATCTGTCTTTTTATTCCTACTACCTAGCACAGTGCTTGGTACAGAGGGGCTGTGCAGCAGTTTGTGGAAGGGATTTGTGCATGCTCATGTGCAAATATCCAAGTAGACATGTTCTTGGCATACGGGAGGTACATTCTTTAGTGTGACAACTGGCAATTCAGTTTATTTAGAAGCAAAAGCACCTAATTAAGGAGCAAGCATGGCTTCCTTATTCTTCTTTGTTTCCTTCTCTCTACCCAATCTCACATGCTTTATAATGCTTTTAGATGTAAGTGACTCTAAATTATTAGCATCTGTGGGCCTTTCAACTTCAAGTCTGAAAGTCTTTGGCCCACATTTCTCAGGAGGGAGAGACTATTATAACTATACTAGAGGTGCACAAAATTCGTGCAGGGGGGCCCTTAGCCCAGCATGCACCCTCTCGTAATCCGGGACCCCTCAGGGGATGCCTGGCTGCTGGTTTAGGCCTGATCCTGCAGGGATCCCCATGGGATCCGGCCTAAACTGGCAGTTGGAAATCCCTTAGTCTGACATCCCTCTTGCAATATGGGACCGCTAGCTCCTAACCACTCGCCTGCCTGCCTGCCTGATAGCCCCTAAGCACTCTGCCTACCTGCCTGATTGATAGCCCCTAACTACTCTGTATGCCTGCCTGTCACCCCTAATACCTCTGCCTGCCTGCCTGATTGCCCCTAACTGCTCTCCTACCTATCTTATTGCCCCTAACCACCTCTGCCTCAGCCCCCACTGCTGCAGCTTCATCCAGAAGGACGTCCGGAAAGACATCCAGAAGGTCGTTCGGCTGTCCAGTCTAATTAGCATATTACACTTTTATTATTATAGATTTTTGCTTACAAGAGAACTATTAATGGTTATCCTGGAGGGGAAAAAATAATAAATATCCAAACTTTAATGAAGCCTGGAGCTTCCTTTGCTAATAAAACTCCAAGTGCACTGCCAACATTGCTGTGTAACCGTTACATTGAGAAAGGACATAAGGCAGGGAGGGAGTTTTTCCTTTTACCTGTTTAGTCCTCATTTTGGAATCCAGTGACAGATTATTGTAGGTATAATGTGCCTGTGTGACTCCACAGAAGAGAAGAGCAACTATTCCTGAAATTCAAAAACACACCAGTTAAAACCAATTTTCTTTCTCATCTATGTCAAAGGGTAGGCCTATTCCAGCTAGAAGAAGATGAAAGGCCCTTTGGTAGCAGTAGAGTTAACACAGCTAATAACTACTATGAAAATGAAATTGGGTAAACATTGCTGCTTGCATTTAAACACTGGCATGGCAAGATCAAAACTAAAGAAAAAAAAATAAAGACCTAAAGTATTAAGAGGTAGATTCTTCCTGAGGATAAATGATTCCCTGGTCACGAGTTAGGAAAGTTACACTTGGAAAAACATGAAGAGAAGGTTGCATCATCAACTCTGGACTACTCAGCTAGCACAACTGCTTGGCTGCATTCACTAAATGCTGGCATATTAGCCCTGACATTTTCTTTCCATTGGGTACTTTGAAGAATCGGAAGCAGTTCCTGTCATGTCATAATTTAGTATAAATCTATGAGACACACACACATACAAAAAAAAACCCCAAAACCATGAGTCACTGACATGAGAAATCTACCAGGATTTTGCTGCCCTTGCCAATGACCTTATGTGCCAAGCAAGAAAGAGATTCCTGTATGTCCCTATTATACCAGCTTTAAATGCCATCAAGCCACACATACACAAGAAGCTACCATGGGACAAATGTGTCTCAGGCTCTGATATTTTCTGTGCTGCCTTTGGGTTGGAATGGAGAAGTGGTGGGGGCTGCATTCTACTTTGTATTAAATGCTCTGTTAATTATGAGAGATTGAGCATAGAAGAGGGCTTTAGGAAAAACAGAGATATTAAGTATTTTTCACCTCAGGTCAGGGGGTTGAATGGAATTTTAAGCAGCAGAATCTTTTCAATTAAAAACACTCAAAACTTAAGTGTTGATAATTCTTAAGAGTACAGAAATATGTTAGCTGAACACTGACATTTCAAATGAACCTACAATAAAGAATTTTAAAGAACCAAGCATATTTTTATATGTAGACTTTATGCTTCTATTTATATGTTGGTTATTTGGGGGGAGTTGTTTTTAAATAAAATATTGCTAAGACATATTTACCTAATACAAGTGTCTAGATATTTTATTACTTATTTCTTTTAATATTGTTTTAAAATTTTAGGTAAAAATGAAAGCAACTAGAAAGCTTTGCCAAAAAATATATATGCAGTATTCATTTATATACATTTTTGATAATATCTCAGTTTCTTAGCTTCTCTTCAGAAATTCTAAGGGAAAAAATACTTATAAAATGTTATATTTACTCTTTACAGAATTTCTATTAAAAAAAAAAAAAGAACAACAACAACAACCAACACCAGGGACACATGTCTGCGCCTGCGTGCACCAGCACTGTGGGTACGTGAGGCTCTAGACAACACTTACACGCTCTGTATCTCAAATTCTTGGTTGCACAGAGGAGGGGAGGGGCACCAAGTATCCTTTGGGCCAGTTAGCAAACTAGTGTCTGAGCTTCTTAGCCACCATCTGGTCTGTGACCCTGGGCTGGGACTGGGCAGGCACACCTTCCTCTGCCTGAGCATTTGGGTGGAGGGTGAGGAGCCCCAGAGGAGCAACATGTGGGGACAGATGCCTGCTTCTTCCTGTTCACCTGCTGTTCTTTCAGGCAGCCCAGTCATGGCTCTTCTTCAAGGCTTTGGTAGCTGGTTCAACCTCTAATTTTAAAACTTTAGGGCAATACAATCCATAACACCCATTTGTAAGTCCCCACCCCAACCCCACCAGGGGAACAAAAGACCAGAAAAAAACACAACTTGCTGGACACCAGAAATCAGACCATTTAAGGAATTGAAACTGTCCTGAAGACACCTGATTGTACACCTGCATTCCATTCACATTCCAAGCCCACCTCAGCCTCCAGACTCACTGATGACAAGTTTCCCACTAGTGAGTGCATATAGGGATGAAACTCCAGCTCCTGGGTGCTGCCATCATTGACCCAATGACACCTTGGCTTGGTGCTGTGCAGTCCTTCCCTTTTGATATCCCTTCTCCCATTCCCTTTCCTTAAATAAATTCAATTATTCTTTATCCACCTCTGAGATGGCTATTTATCCTACCTACCCACACCACCCACCATGTTCACCTTTCATTTTGATGGCCTGAATTTCTGTTTGTGTGTTTTTTCTGCACTTCCAGATCAGCCTGCTGGGACCTACTCTGAGAAAGCCGAAGCGGCCAGGGCAGTGCCTTGGAGGTCGGGTCCCAGCTCAGTGGTTCCCTCTTAGGAGCCTCCAGATTCTCTCCCCTTTGCCCTCCAGTCTCAGGGGTCATACTTGCTTCCTGCAAATACTACCTCTGTGTTGCTTCAGCATCTCTCATTTACTTTTTTAGCTCTCCACCACCTGCATGCCTAATTTCCTGCATTCATCTGTCAATAGCCAGACAGGTCCTCTTTTCCAGTACTTTCCTATGGGTCCCTTCTCATCCTAAATCTTGGTGATTTTCTGAAACTATTGATGGTTTGCCATCTGGAAATAAGATACAACCTGTATTCTCCTATTGTAACTGGGACAAGGGGGTGCCAAACTCCAGAGGCCTGGGCTCAGTCTTTTTTTCTTTTTACTTTTATTCTTTTTTAAAAAATCTATATAGTTAAAAGTATTACTTAGGTCCTCCTTTTCCCCCATAACCTCTTCCAGCCCACTCCTGTCTTCCCCTCCCCCGCTGATCCCAGTGCTGGGAGGCCTCGCGGCTCTGCTGATTCCAGTGCCAGGAGGCCTCTCAGCTCCGCTTGACATGGGGCAGTGAGGCCTCGCTGCTCCGCTGATCCCGGGTTCGGGAGGTCTTGTGTCTCCGCTGATCCCAGGCGGGGAGGCCTCATGGCTCTGCTGATCCTGGTGCCAGGAGGCCTCATGGCTCTGCTGATCCTGGGTTCGGGAGGCCTTGTGGCTCCGCTGATCCCGGTGCTGGGAGGCATATTACCCTTTTACTATATAGGATAGAGGCCTGGTGCATGGGTGGGGGCCGGCTGGTTTGCCCTGAAGGGTGTCCCAGATCATGGTGTGGGTCCCCACTGGGGTGCCTGGCTAGCCTGGATGAGGGGATGATGGCTGTTTGCAGCTGGTCACACCCTTCAGGGTGGGGGTCCCCACTGGGATGCCTGGCCAGTCTGGGTGAGGGGCTGAGGGATGTTTTCAGGCTGGCGGGTGACTGAAGTTAGGGAGGGAATAAAACCCCTTAACTAAGTGCCAGGCGGGTAATTAATCACTTTAACTATGAACAATCGTGCTTAAGCTACATAATCTTTACTCCCTGGAATGGAGATAAGAAATGCCCTAAGCTTTGGAATAGAGATTGATAGGATTGGAATCAACTTGTATAAATACAGATGTAACAAGACAACAGGACACAGAACCTAGACACAGAACCTACACAGAACCTAGAGACAGAGGAACTTCGCTGGAGAGAACATGGCAAAAGATCTTGGACAGAAACTGGAGACAGAACCTAGAGACAGAACCTAGCGAGAGAACATGGCGGAAGAGCCTAGAGACAGAACCTGGCCACAGAACCTGGATAGAACATGGCAAGAGAACCTGACTAGAACCTGGTGACTGAACCTGGCTGGAGAACCTGGAGAACCTGGCTGGAGAACCTAGCAAGAGAACATGGACATAGAACCTGGCTGGAGATCCTAACCAGAACTTCGCTGGAGATTCTGACCAGAACTTCGCTGGAGATCCTGAACAGAACATCGCTGGAGATCCTGAACAGAACTTCGCTGGAGATCCTGGCCAGAGGGGACCCCTGGACCTACTGGGGTTGGACCCCAAAGGTGTAGACGGAGTCAGCGAAGAAGGAATGACACGGAGACAGCGTTCAGTTGATCAGCAGCCTAGCCAGGATCTCTAGCCAGGATCTCCAGCGAAGTTCTAAGTTGTCTCAAATCCAATTTGGAAATAGGAAAGGATTAAATAATTAATGAATAAACACATAAGTAATTTGAACTCAGCAGGCTTCGTCTTTGGAAATAGAAAATGCTCACACCTAGACTGGTTTGTAGTGAATGCCTATCAGGCATGCTGCTTAATCTGAAGCACTGCTCTGGATTGAGTGTGCCCTTGGTTTCAGGCTTGGACATCTGAGCCTTTCTGCTACTGAGGGCCACACATTCACTCACCCATCCCATCATGCTGACTCCTTAATGGTGGTCTCCGTGGCATCCAATAAGAATAACAGGATCAAAAGGGTGGGTCCAAGAGCAGGGTACAGATAAATTAGCAATTTACACATGGGCCATAACCTTTAAAATAGTTAATGAAACAAGATCTTGCTGAAATGGACCAGAAAATAGAAAGACATTTTTCACACCCAGAAACAAACAATTTTTGTGTGAATGTGTGTGTGTGTGCCTGTGAGTGTGTGTGTTTTTATTACAATGTTCAACAGTAGACTAAAAATGTCAGGTGAGTTAAGATACTTCTTTGACCTTCCTGAAAGGTCAAATATGTATTCTTATTATTAATATTACATCATTTTACAACATGTTAAGTGATAAAAAGGGCATAGAATGTGAATAAAGTGAACCAACAATTTTTGAATGGTGGGTATAAATTGTTACCTCCATTATTTCATTTAAGGGACACCAGTGCTCTTTTTCTCAGGCACACATAAATTCTTCAGCAATCTCCCTAACAACTAGTAAGGCACTACTATAATAGAGGCTGTGTTGGATGATTTGGATACAAGGGTAAGTAAGGTGGCTTCTGGTGATGTAGTCGTGATTATAGGGTCTTAAGCTTTTACTGGCAAGTGGCTTTCTGTGGGTGACAGACATACTCAACATCTGAGGGAATTGCTTGGTCCTTGCAGCTCTACAACTGCCTAGAACAACATCATTACCAAAATTTTGCCAAGATTTGGGGTTGTTGTGTGTTCATTTTCATTTGTTTCCAGGAATTTTTTGATTTCTTCCTTTATCTCATTGGTAACCCATTCATTGTTTAATAGCATGCTATTTAGCCTCCATATGTTTGAATGTTTTTGAGTGTTTTTATTGTAGATGATTTTTAGTTTCATGCCATTGTGATCCCAGAAGATGCTTGCTATAATTTCAATCTTCTTGAACTTATAGAGACTTAAGTTTGTGTCCTAACATGTGTTTTATCTTTGAGAATGTCCATGTGCACTTGAGAAGAATATATATTCTTCAGCTTTGAGGTTAAATGATCTGTAAATATCAATTAAATACATCTGATCTAATGTGTCACTTAAGGTCACTGTTTCCTTGTTGATTTTTTGGTCTGGAAGATCTATCCAGTGATGTCAATGGGATGTTAAAGTCCCCTACTATGACTGCCTTGCTATCAATCCCTTAAATTCTTCCAAGAATTTAGGTGTTCCTATATTGGGTGCATATATATTTACCGGGGCTATATCCTCTTGTTGAAATGATTCCTTTAGTATTATGTAGTGTTCTTCCTTGTCTCTTGTTATGGCCTTTGCTTTTTGGGAAAATGAGGAACATCTGTAATACTCTCAACAATAGAGACCAATAAAACAAAAAAAGATTTGCCAAGAAATTCATGTTCATAGGACAGCCAAAAACAGCCTAGGAGCAAATGGACCAGGCAGAACCCTGGGGCCCAAATATCTTCTATTCTTAGGGGCTACCTAATATTTCACAGGTGAAATTTCATTCAAGGTAGTGATGCTTGGTCCCCACCAGCCCAGGCTCTGGAATCAAATCTCCTAATTGTAAAACTTAGCTCTACAACTTACTATTGGGTGAGTAAACCAGGTTTATATGGTTCCTAACTTTTAATCTTTCTATAAATTAATGAGAACCTTCCTACGAGGCAGTTAGCAAGAGCCCAGTGGTAGCATAGTTTACTTTCAATATGTCAACTTTTATTATTATTTAGATTTAAAAAGTACTAACTATTAAAATGCAAATTACTTTAGGGAGCTATCCTGTTACCAATTAACACTTCAGGAGGGATTCTCACCACTTGAATGTCAGTTAAGATGTAGTGAATATCAAGGATCAGGGATTGAAACCCAGGAGAAGCAGGAAAGGGGCCAAAAGAAAGAAATAGCTTTGACATTTTGTAGAAGCCACTGTGATTCTTCTACATAGAAAAGCACCCAATCGTTGCAGCTACCCAAGTGCAAACCCTCACTGATGCAGAAAGGCAATCTAATTGCTGAATCTAGATCACTGGATCTATGGCCCTGGGGACCTGAGGGACTGCCCCTTTCTCTATCAACTATTCCACCTCAGAGCACCCTATATATAGACTTTCTATGGTAAGAGTTATTAAGCTGTGGAGCCTCACGTAGCTGTTTTCTGGCCTGCCATAGTATATGTGCAAAGATTTTAAACACGGTATGGACACTTGCACATCCTGGACACTTGCTGTGAACAATTAATCCTAAAGTTACCCATCACCTCTATTAATTAGTCATTTGTAGATTTTAACATCCCCTCCTGACCAGCAAGGACAGAAGAGGAAATGGCATTTTGGAGACTTTCAGTTAAGCTGTTGTGTACAAAATGGATGAATTACTATTTGTCTCTCCCAGAGTCCCCAGGAAGGCTGAGTGGGACACACACCTCTGAGGCCTGCTGCCTCCGCAGACAGGAAGGCGCTCCAAGACAGGAGGAAGAGCAGGCCCGTCTCCAGCAGAGGGAACTCATGCAGTTTGGTAAATTTGGTCAAGTGACGAAGACAAGTTAAGGGAAACAGCCGCTCTGACAGCTAAGTCTGTTAGGTCGGAGAGAGCTCAGGATCAAATACATGCAGAAGTGTGATGAGATAATGGACCCTCCCTGGAATTTTAAACAGATCAGTGTCCCAGACACAGATACTGGCTTCTCCCTGGAATCCACATAACGCCCACACAGATACTGACTCCTTCCTGAATACCCTGCTGACCTCTTGTGGCAGGGACTTCCTCAGTTCATGTCCCCAGCCCCTCACCCAACAGTAGTATAAAACAAAGCCCCCCCTCCCTGTGGGCACGAATCCACTGGCCCTGTCCTTGGAGTAGGTGTGGGGATGCAAAATAAAACCTTTCCTTTTCTTTCTTTTCTGATCAACTCGGCTCTATTTCCTCCACCTCCTGAGCCACCTAACAAAATCTACTTCTTGGCTGAGAGATACTGATGTGGTTGTGCTAGTTTCTGAGTAAGAGAGAACGGGCTTCAGACCTGACTAGCATGGTAACTCCTTAAGGCTATGTGAAGGTCAGCACAGCTTCATTGTTTCACTGGGTGCTTAATACTCTGATAAAAATACAAACCTGTGTTCAGATAAAAAAGAAAAAGTGTCTTACTAAGAGGAAGAAACTAGCTAATTGTACACAACCTCTTGAATTTGAATTTAGGCCTTGGGACATACTCCTCAGGAGACTGTAGCAGATCCTGAGAACAAAGCCACAGATTGTGGGTGAATGAGAAGCTGCAGGCAGGTCAGCACCAAAGGAGGCCACTGCTCCCTGGAAAGGGCTATGAAAGGGCGAGGACTACGCCCTCCATCTTGCCCCAGGGTAAGGGCTATGCCCTCCATCTTACCTTGGCCATGTGCTTGGCAAGGCTTCTTCCCAGAAGCCAAGCCTCTGCTAGCCACACCCAGGACTTCTTTAAACTAACCAATGATAATCAAGGGAAGTCGCCATAGATATGACCACATCCTGTGTAACAAGACACCGACTTGCGCCTGGCCAATCGGCAGGGCCCACAGTCCTTTCTCCTCCCCTTACCCCAACCCCCTATAAAACCTCTCTCCACACAGAGTTTTCTCTCTCGGCCACTGGGCTTACCGTTGCATCGGGGAGGCGAACTAGTTCGAAATGAAGGACTCTTTGCTTTTGCATCGGACTGGCTGGCTCCCTGGTGGGCCCTTGGGAATCTTGAAATCTGGGCACAACAGGCTACTCTTTGGACAAAGCACCTGGAACACTCTTCTCTCCTGGAGTGGGCAATAGGATCAGGAGCAGTATTATATTCAGTGACCATATCCACTTGGTCTAAGTAGGGTAGATGAAAATGTATATTAATTCTAGGCCAGACATATGTTCATTTTGACCAGAATAACACTTGGCCAATGGCCTACATATTGCAAATAGAGCAAAGACTTAGTGACCCAGGCTATGTGGAGAATGGGTTATGGAGAAATGATTAGGAGTATGTGATCAGTGGGAAAGGTTTACATCCCAATTGTGTCCAGGGTTAGGCAAAAACACTCTACAAATGAGATGAAATGTTGCATTTTTTTATCTATCTAGAAAAAAAATCTGAAGAAGAATTCACATTAAGAGGTGTTTGGCAGAAGGGCATGGAAGCGAAAAGTATGACCCTTGGGGTAGAAGATGCAGGTCCATGTCTTGGCTCTGCTAGTCACTGGCCAGATGATTTCTGAGCAATATATTAACCTCTCTGACTCTCATTTCTATCCTATGTGAATTGTCAAGGAAAATAATTCCTACTTTACAAGGCTGAAAAGTAAAATAATACAAAGTATATGAAAAATATTTTGTGAAGTATTAGAAGCACAAAATGTCGAGAAGAGGCAGAATGTCACTATTGAGAATATGTCCTCTGGAAGTCAAGTCCACCTGGGTTCAGACCTACTGTGTCATCTTGGACATGTTCCTTGGTCACTCTGTGCCTTGGTTTCCCTATGTGAAAATGGGAATGATAATTCAACCTACCTACTAGGTGTATAAACCAGTTGCTATACATTAAGCACTCAGAAGAGTGTACTTGGTAAGCAACAGGGATATGCAAGTTTTTCTATTAGTGTGATTTAAATTAATTTGTCTTGTAAAAATCCTTTCTTAAAAATAGATTCAGTAAGGATCTGTAAGTAATTCTTAACTGGAGGAAAGCAGGGGCGGCCAGTTGACCCTTTTCAGCATCCCCTTTCACTGCCAGGAGGTAGGCTTTTTTTCCAGGGGGAGCTTGTTTCTTTGGCTCCTTCTTCTACTTTGTTGCCAAGACATCTCAGGAGATCAGGTGGGCATAGGGCATTTGTTTCTTTCACCCTTCTCCAGAAAGGAGTTCAGTTCTAGGTCAAGCCCCAAGTTCATCCAGAGGCCTGCACCCTAAGGAGCCTTAACCTCCTGTGGACAAAGTGGGAGGTTGTTACCACCAGGGAATGCCTGTGCACCGATTTACCATACACCTAGTTGGTGAGTGCCAAGGCCCCTAGGTGCAGCATGATTGACTTGCCTCTGTGACTGAGCCGCCATCTCTTCTGTCTCCACCCTTTTGTCCAGATCTGATCCAATTCATGGCAAACTTTCAATCTCTGGGAATTTTCCCCCTTCCCTATAGAGCCAGTGGTTCTCAACCTTCTGTCCCTTTAAATACAGTTCCTCATGTTGTGATCCAACCATAAAATTATTTTCGTTGCTACTTCATAAGTGTAATTTTGCTACTGTTATGAATCGTAATGTAAATATCTGATATACAGGGTGGTCTTAGGCGACCCCTATGAAAGGGTCATTCGACCACCAAAGGGGTCGCAACCCACAGGTTGAGAACTGCTGCCGGTATAGACTCATTTACTTTTGTGTCCATACATTCCCTCGTGTCAGGCAGAGGAGAGCTTCGGGCTCAGCTCCTCCACCTTGAGCAGCTCTGGAACCAAAAGCCTGTGTTTCAGTGCCGGCCCTGAAATGTCCTGGCTATACAGCCTCTTCAGTGGTAAACTTGGGGAAGTAACAGTCTCTCCCTTCCAAGATTCTCATATGAGTTGTCTGAGATAATCCATGCAAAATACTAAGGACAATGGCTGGCACATAGCAGTGTTCCCAACAAATCTTATTATTATCATGTTAATTATTACTGATATGTGACCCAGAGTGAGCTACTTAACCTCCTAGACCTCAGTTTCCCCATGTTAAAGTGAGGCTAATTATAACCTGTCTTACATGGTTGATTAAAATTAGGAGATACACATAAAGTCCCTGGCACATGCTGACATCTACTACATGTTGTTATCACCGTTACTATTACTCTAAACCTGAGACCTCCATTATAATTCCACTTAAGAATTAAGAGGCAATGGGAAGTAGTAATCAGGAGCATGGCCTGTCTCTGGCTTTCACTCCCTGGGTTTGAATCATGGCTCTGCTTACCAGCTGCATGACTTTGAGCAATAACTTAACTTTTCTGAGTTTCAGTGTCCAATAAAAATAGGATCTGTATGATATGATTATTGTGAAAGTCAAACGAAGTATTGCATGTAAAACAAATTAGGCATCCCAACATATCATAAATACTGAGTAGATTATCAATCAGTATTTTTGTTAGAAATGAGCCCTACCTTTTCTGACTTACTTTTTTTCTGTCAATGAGTTGGAATTCTCAGGGTTTTCAGGACAAAACTTAGGAGTAGACTTGGTTTCTCTCCCTTTATTTATCTCTTATAAAGATATCAACAACTAAGTTTTAGAGATTATTCTAAATATTGGTTTCCTTCCAGATGTTTCCCCTACAATTTATCATCAGTTTTCCTTGATTCTAATCCCCCTGATCTGATCACCCTACATACCAGTTATCGTTATGTTTTAAAACAGAACTTCCAGTGTGTCACTTCCTTTTAATGATACTCCTAAAAGCTCTGCAGCTGACTCCATCCCCCTGTGTTCCCTCATCTTCCATCACTCACCACCCTAACGCTGTGGTCCTCCCAGGCACATCCACAATTCGCCACCTTGGTCCCACCCCATTTTCCTTGAATCACTTATCTTGTAATTTTTGCCTATATTCTACCTCTCACATGCCCAAGTCTAACTTAGCATCTACATACTGCTTTTCGAATTATTTTCCAGAATCATGAGATTGGTCACGAGTCTACTAGATGATTCCAGATACAGTGTCCTCATTCACATTTCAATTTTTAGAGTACTAATAAATTGGCTGTGACTTTGGCATCCACTTTCTACCCAGCTATTATGTAGAGATTGTCTTTCAAAGTTTGTCACCAGTTGAAGACAGCATCCATGTTTTACTCATATTCTGATATCTTAGAAACCCTTAGTAGAGCTCAGCCTGTTAGTAGCTGGTCAGTCACCATGGAAAAAGACCCCAACATTTTTTTTTTACCTGGATGCCTGTACCCCTCTTACACTTTCTTCCTTCTCTTTTCCTCAGAAATTTTTAGTTTTTAATCCTTTACTCTAATCTTCTCTGAGGCCTTCATTAAACTCTCACACTTGACATTGGCCTTCTGGCTTTCCTCCTCAACTCTGATTTATTTTGCCCCATCCAACTGCTCTAAGTGAACTGCCCACCAGAGCAGCTTCATTATCTGGCTTAAATCCTCTAAGAGCTCTACCAATCCTCCAACCTCTCTGCTGCAAAAGAGGGAATGAGATTGCCCAGATATGGCAGACATATTTTCTGCCTTGCTTACTGGTCCCTTTTCAGATAGTAGCCATGGATGCTTGTTTAGACCCACAATGACCTTTGGCTTGGTCAGCACTGTGAGCTAGTGATTGATGCAAGCTTGAAAAGAAGGTAGAGGATATGGATACTTGCTTTATCATTTCCAGTCAATTAAGCCTTGTTCTTGACATTGTACCTTCATTTTTTTTCCTTTGGACCCTAATACAGCCAATCCTGATGCCCCTAGCTACCTGTTTTCTGAGATAATAATTTTTAAGATAGTTAATATCTTATGATCAGATAGTGTCAGTTGTGATAGAACTGGAATTGGACAAGAAGAGAGCCTGGGCCCCTCTGTCACCTGTACCAACCTCTACCTGGAGGGTGATTCAGATGGCCCCAGTGGTGGTGTATCATCCTTGAACAAGACTAACCATTTGCAGGCTTGGTGGTTGTCCATTTCCCAAAACATTCCAAAGACACAGTCCCTAGCTCTCCCCATGCAGACAAAGGATATCAGTGCAGTAACAACAGCATATGCAGATCCCATTGCAAAGGAACCCGCAAAGATCCCCAGGAAATCCCCCACGGACTGGAAGAATGTCACAGCATCAAATACATTTGGATTCTCCTTGGGACTGTAAATGGATATAGAACTGAAAAGAGAAGAGGGTGAAGGTTAATCAGTGATTTCCATCTTATAGCCTAAGTACTGAAGTCAGAATTTAGCACCCACTTTTGGGAAGGGCACCTTCTTCTATAAGGTTAGGTACTGGTTAAAAGAGTTCAGGAGAAAGGGATGAGGACAGGGAGGTGTGGAGAAAGAAAAAAGCTTTCTCCTTCCTACAGTCCCTCCCCATGGTACCCATATATTGCTGCTAGTCAGTAAACATTTTTATATTGGAAAGTGCCAGAAGCCAATTCCAGCATGTCAACAGGGCATCTGGAAATGACTGAGGGCATTTCCCCAAACCTGAAAAGGATGCATAAATGATTGCGTGCTGCCAGACAGCTCAGGGCATTTCAATCTACATGTTATTGCCTCCTCATGGCCAAACACCTGAACAGCAGAAGGCAATTCTTCCAATCTGACAATGGATTCTGTATACTAAACCCTGGCTTTTGATGTGTATACCTTGCCTTAGGACAATTTCTGTTAATAAAAAGCAAGGTGTCCTGAGACAAGGGAGAATTTAGTTCCTTTAGCTAAGTCTTCTCTGGCTCCCCAAAATGCCTTCCAAAATTATGTTTCATCTCTGGACTCTTTAATAATTTACACACAGCACCTTCTCCAGATTCCTGAACACTTCTAGATGCTGGGGCAAGACCACCAGCAGGAAGGGTCATAAAGAATATTGTTTTTTGAGCAAACTATGCATTAAAACATGGTAAGTGGCCGAAACCAGTTTGGCTCAGTGGATAGAGCATCGGCCTGCGGACTGAAAGGTCCCAGGTTCGGTTCCGGTCAAGGGCATGTACCTGGGTTGTGGGCATATCCCCAGTAGGAGATGTGCAGGAGGCAGCTGATCGATGTTTCTCTCTCATCGATGTTTCTAACTCTCTATCTCTCTCCCTTCCTCTCTGTAAAAAATCAATAAAATATATTTAAAAAAAAAAAAAAAAACATGGTAAGTGCATAAGGAATCTGTGGAGAAGATAGATAACTGTGAATCATTTAGTGGTCATACACCTTCAGTGCTGCTGTATATTCACAATGTTCCTAATAAAAAGTGCACTTTTATGGTCTGATAAAATCACAGCATAAATTTTTCTATACAGAAAAATCAGTCCACCAGTAGGCAATCTGTTCACTTAAATCTTTTTGAGTATGTCACATTTGCTGCTTGCTTTTTTTTTCTTTTTCTTTTTCTTTTTTTTACCAAGGCCTCAAACCTGAGAGTGTTGATGTGCAGGATAAGGTGTGCCTTGTTTTAGGAGATGCAAGCTCCATATCATAGTATTGAAATGAGCAGATTGCTAGAGCCAGTAGTTGGAGGATCCTTATGAAGTAATGTTTCAGATTCTTCTCCGTTTTAATTTTAATAACAGGTCTCAGTGGGAGGGACTGTGTGCCAGTGAGAGCAAGCCCACTAAACACCTGGCTGGAGATATAATCGAATTGTTCATGTCTGGGATTGCCCATGTTAACTCTCCCACCTGACTTTGTGGCTGGAGACTAGTTAAGAGAACAGGGAGTGGATTCCAATTCTCCCATAGGAAGATGTATAGCATTAAAAAAAAAAGTAGCTTTATTTTTTTAATATTTTTTTTATTGATTTAAGAAAGGAAGGGAGAGGGACAGAGAGAGATAGAAACATCAGTGATGAAAGAGAATCATTGATCGGCTATCTCCTGCATTCCTCCAACTGGAGATTGAGCTAGCAACCTGGGCAGTGCCCTTGACCAGAATTGAACCTGGGACCCTTCAGTCCTTAGGTGGATGCTCTATCCACTGAGCCAAACCAGCTAGGGCAAAAAAAAAAAAATAAGGTAATTTTAAATGCTCCTCGTTTTTCCCTGGATGTTTTTAAACCCTAAAGTAGAACAAACACTTTGGCTTTGATCACATAATTCCATAAGGAGGATGAATGTGGATCTAGAATGGAGCCCTGAGATGTATGCCAGAAGAGAATTGCCTTTGAAGTGGTTTTCTTTCTGGAAAGAGCTGTGCTTTGCAGAAAAAAAAAAAAAAAAGGAAATTCATATTTGGGTGCTTTGGGTCCTGGGAAGGGTGTGGACCCATGGTCATTAGAAACTTGATGCCCCAGGCTGCAAAGCTGGAGATGAGAGCTGACATTCACCAGCACATATCTTCACTCCAACGAAGAAACAGTAGTGATGAGAAAAGATTGTGTTTGCATTCTGCCTTTCAAACAAAGATTTTGCACAGTAACTCAGTTAGGTAAACAATTTTCTTAATTCCTGAGGCCACTCTCAGCAGATGTGACCCTCAGAACACACCCCCTCACTCCTAGCTCCACCTCCCCAAAGTATTTTCCCAGTCCCAAAGTTGCCCATATCCTGTAGCATTATTTATGCAATGTTTTTCTTTAAATCAACTCATCTTTATTCAAATGCAAAAACTTTTATTAAAGCATATTTATGAAATAATAGGTTTAATGTGCTAATTCTATTTATTTTTAATCAATATGAGATTATATAATTATTAAAGTTTTTTAAAGTTTACCTGTGTGCCATCTAAAATCCTCTGGGTATCTGCCCTGGTTCATTGTCTGTATTTTAGGACATGTTCTCTTCCTGGGTTCTGATCCTCACCCAACTGGCTGCAGCCCAGCTTCATACCTTTCGTGTGAGGTTTAACCTCACTGAAGGGAAAGCCTAATTCTCCTTGCACTATGGAGACTTGCCCATTGCATATGCCAGCCCTCACTCTCCTCATGATCTTGTACCGGGAATCTGCAACATGCCAGGGGATGCATTAGGTGCCAGGTATGGGCGCAGGCAAGAAAGGGCATAGAGAATTGAAGTCAATAAACATTTTATTGAATGTATGCCAGGCATACGTAGGCCAGAAGCCTAACAGATGACAACTAGCTCTAGCAATGGTGCCAAGTAAATTTTGTGAGAGATATGCAACTTTGAATGGTGTAAATGAGGAAAGGGACACTATTTTAGAATAGAGGAGATGGCATTTGAGCACCAAAGCAAGTTAGCAGACAGTGATGAGAAGATATTCCAGGCTGTGGAAGGCATGTAAGCAAAGGCAAGGAGGCAGATGAGTTGAGGGCACTTCAAGGCAAAACTACAGTCAAAGCTCCACATAACAGACTAATTCAGACAGGGGGGGTGTCCATTAAAGTCTATTATATAATAAAGTAGATTTTCAAATGTGTATGTTTAAAAAATGACAAATTAGTTTACCCCTTTTTTACTTATGTAGACAAGTTTATGTAATTAAAATTAACCCTGCAGGCCTATGTTTATGTTTCTATTTCTTCTCATTACAGCAATCTCTTTAGCATTTCTTGCAGTGCTGGTTTGGTGGTGATAAACTCCTTTAGCCTTTTTTTTTTTTTTTTTTTTTTTTTGTGGTGGAGTGGAGCTCTTCATTTCACTATCTATTTTGAATGATAGCCTTGCTAGATATAATCTTGGTTTCAGATCCTTGCTTTTCATTATCTTGAATAATTCATGACATTCCCTCTGGCCTGTAGAGTTTCTGATAAGAAATCATCTGAAAGGACACATATGTAATACCCTTTGTAATACTTTAAGCAATAAAAAAAAATGAAAGAAAGAAATCATCTGACAGCCTTATGGGAGCTCCTTTGTATGTAACAAATTGCTTTTGTCTTGCTGCCTTTAAGATTCTCTCTTTGTCTTTAATTATTGGCAATTTAATTATGATGTGTCTGTGCATGGGCCTGTTAGGGTTCTTCTTGCTTGAGATTCTCTGGGCCTCCTAAACTTGTTTGACTTTTTCCTTCACCAGGTTAGGGAATTTTTCTGCCATTATTTCTTCAAACACATTCTCTATTCCTTTCCCCCTTCCTGCCTCTTCTGGCACACCTGTTATTCTAATATTGTTACGTTTCACATTGTCCCCTTAAGCTGTCCTCCTGTTTTTTAATGTTTTTTTCTTTTTGGTTCTCTGATTGAGTGATTTTCTTCTACCCTGTTTTCTAAGTCACTGATCTGATCCTTGGCTTCCCCTAATCTACTGTGTATTCCTTCCAATGTGTTCTTTATTTGTATTATGTCATTCTTTATTTCCGACTGATCTTTTTTCATAGTTATCATATATTTTCTTACCCTGTTGAGCATCTTTTCCATCATTATTCTGAACTCTATATCAGATAAACTTTTTATCTCCATTTCATTTAGCTCTTCTTCTGGAGAATTCTCTTGCTCTTTTATTTGGGTCTTGTTTTTTTGTCTCCTCATTTTGGCTACCTGTTTGGGTTTGTGATCTGTTATGATTCCCAATATCTAGTGGAAGATAGTGTCATAAGCTATTTCTTACTGGCCCTGAGACCCTGTTTGGAGTTATCAGCAATCCATAGCTGTGGCTCTCTTTGCTGGGTCCAGATGCCTTTGAAATGGACCAAGATGTGCACTGAGGTCTGCTTTCCCTAGCCCGAGGCCCTGAATTAGATCAGGCAAAGTCTCAAAGCCTCCAGAGACCTGTCTCTACTTGCAGTCTGATTATTATTTAGTCTTGATTAACCTCAGGTTATTGACCACAGAGTGGGGCATGAGGTTTTCTAACAGGATGGGGCAATTGCTTCTGCCTGCATGCTGTTCGTTATTCACAGTCTACTAACGGGTCTTAGAAACTCCACAGGGTGGGACAAAGGGTTTTCCAATAGGGTGGGGCAATTGCTTTCATCCAAAGCAAAAGTTGCCTGGGTGGTATAGGTCTGATGGAGAAAGATGTCCTCTGCAATATGAGGGGATGACTTCAGACAGGTAACTGGGGTGTCTGGCTTCTGAGCTCTAATCCAGAGACTCCAAACCTGGCTTCTGCTCACAAGCTCTAGTCCATTCTGCTTTCCCTCTACCAGAGCCCAAGGTGAATGGTTGCACACAAAATTTTGTGTGTTGGCCCTTTAAGTGGGTGCCTGCATTTTCAGCCATCTCAACCCTGCTGCTTTTCACAGGTAGATGTTATATGGGAACCTTTCTCGGTTCTGGC